TTGGCTGCACTCCAGACCTCAACCCTGTTGAACACTTGTGGGATCAGCATGGTGTTTGTGACAGAATAACCAACACAACCACAGTGACTCACTTGTGACAAATTTTCCTGAATTTATAATCTAGCAAAGATGAACAGAAAAAAACTAAACAATTTTTGGGTCCAAAGATTTTGGGTAGTGTTTGCTACTCTGGCGTAATCACCTGTTATCCAGCTATCATCATCATACATCCATGTTTAATTCAAAAACATAGGAATATTTTCTCTCAATTTTTCCTCTAGAGACTCTTAGCTCACCAATCACAATATACTTCAGGATAGTTTATTTTATTAAGTATGTAATGGTTAGATAAAATGTTCTATAAATGTATATTTAGTCACTCTGTCCAAGCACTATAGACAAGGCAGACAAGCTCTTGGCTGTGTGCCATGCTTATATTTCTGCTTATTTAAGAATCCCAGTACAGAGGCACACACATACAAACTGAATCAGTCACAAGTCAGATATTGGAACAAGTTCACTAATCAAACTCTAACATTTTAAAAACAAAAGGCTGGATTTTGAGACCTTGCACCATTGTTTAGCTGTAATGTGAAGTGATGGACTTAATCTCTTTCAGTCCAACCTCTCTTGACAGTTGTCACAGCTTCAGTGCCAAGTTTTGGGTATCCTAGAACTGCATAAGCATTTCCCCCTATAACTGAACTCACAGACAAATTCCAAGTCATTACTGCAGAGTTTCACCGCCAAGTTCAGTGTGCAGCAGTAGATTTGGTGCACACTAGACTTTGTGGACCAGTTATTATTAATGTATGATACTAGCCACTAGCATTAATATGTTTTAAATGGGTAGAATTTGGAAGATTTAGAGAAATGGTAACGTGCCAATACATATTTACAGATTCAATTCTAAATGAGTTATAATCTAAATGACCATTTATTCATGCAATAAATTATCTTTATTGAAAAGTTAAATCCTTACGTGAGAATTTCCAGTTTACAGAGTGTACTCTCCACTCCGGAAGACAGCAGCTTAACTCCTGAATCCCGCAGGTCATTGTCACTTAGGTCCAGCTCTCTCAGACTAGAGGTCTGGGAGGTGAGAACTGAGGACAGAGCTTCACAGCTTATCTCAGAGAGTTTACAGCCACTCAGTCTAAATTTTATTAGGAAGAAGAAAGGAAAAAGAAATACTGGTGTTAATGAGTATTCCTACCTAAGTGAGAGATTACTTGATTTGGAAATAACAAAAGCAGTCCCTTGTGTTAAATAAGTCAGAAATGGTGCCGTTTACTTTGACTTAGAAAAAAATACAGAGAAACAATAATAGCATTCATATAGTTTATAAAATTAACTAAAATAGTTAAAATATATTTATGTAATTTTATCAAAAGTATATCACTTTATCTTACCTGAGAGTTTTCATCTCATTTGAACTCTTCACGCCAACAGAAAGAAGCTTCACTCCTGAATCCTGTAGGTTGTTGTTACTCAGATCTATCTCTCTCAGACTAGAGGACCGGGAGCTAAAAACTGAGGAAAAATCTTCACAGCTTCTCTCTGAGAGATTACAGCTCCTTAATCTAGATTTGTAAATAAGTAATCTTGTTTAATTACTGACTGAATCCTCTATTTTATGTTAAACAAATCAAAAATTAAATTCAAATGCTTAAAATACAAATATAAAACAAAGTGTGAATGAAATCAACTTAGCAATATTTTGTAATGTATTTTTTTTTTCAATTGATAGAAACACAAAAACAAAAATAAATAAATAAGCAATATCAGTTCGTCTGACCTGAGAATTTTGAGTGTACAGTGTGGACTGTGCAGTGCAATACAGAGATGCTTCACTCCTGTATCTTGAAAGTTATTGCTACTCATGTCCAGCTCAGTCAGACTAGATGAGTCCAAACTGAAAAGTGTGGACAGATCTTCACAACTTCTTTCTGAGAGGTCACAGTCACTCAGTCTGAAAAATTAGGAAGACAAATAACACAGGTGTTAAAGCTGAATCATGCTTACTAAGGGAGCTGCTGTGTTTTGCAATCTTTAGTTCATTTTTTATTTAGAAATAGAGCTCACCATTGTCTTAAACTCATCAAAAAAAATGTTTAATGTGTAAAACATTAAAATATTAAATATGGGACATAAATATTTTTGTAAACATATAAACACATTACCACTTCAACTCACACAAGAACTTCTAGTTTACAGTGTGGACTCTTCAGTCCAGCAGACAGAAGCTTTACGCCTGAATCCTGCAGGTTGTTGTTACTCAGGTTCAACACTCTCAGACTAGAGGACTGGCAGTTGAGAACAGAGGACAGAGCTTCACAACTTCTCTCTGTGAGATTACCATGACTCAATCTAAAAAAATTATAAACAATAATTCAGTTAAATTCCATCTTTTTAATACCACAACAGCTGCACTCGAAATTTTTAAGACAACAAAAAACACGAGTTCAAGAGTTTTATGCTTCATTGAAGAGTTACTTGTTTTGGCAATATTTATTCTATTTTACGACCGACTGGAGACCTTAAAGCTTTACCATTCATAGAACTCATTCCATCAATGTTTTGACAGACTAAAACAAAAACTGTCACATTTAGAAGAGCCCAGCAGCAAATGAATCATGTGGTTTGAATAGTGCTAGAGCAATATCATATTAGGGTTGACAAACAAGCAGGAGGAGCAGTGGGCAGCAGATATCAATATTTTTTGGCTACTGTAGCTATACGGACCAGCATGTTAGGAATATGAGCAAGACAAAAGACAAATTCAAAAATGGATATGTCAAGCGGCGTTACCTAAGACGACATGCCAATGTATATATTCTATGGCTTTAAAAGAAAAGGACATTGTTGAAAGGAGTCATCTGAGGAATTAAAACCCAACAAAGAAGCATAATAACAAACTTCAACTGTGTAAAAAGCATGTTCCAGGTAATACCAATCGTTTTGCATCATCGGAAGTGATAACCTGTGCAAAGCACACACAATGCAAGATTGTACAGAACCTGCCACTCTGTCTTGTACTATGGTTTATATCATAAAAATAAAGATATAAAGTGGTGTCATGAATGCTTTTGCAGTCCTTGTTGTTTCCTTTAATGTAAAGCTGGAGGGTAATGACTAAATGCAAGACACAGGAGACAAAAGAGCACTAAAATAAAACAGGACCTAAAGAAATCCAAAGATTAGAGATTTTTTGTACATTTGTACTTAAATGTTTCAGATCGTCAAACAAATTTAAATATTAGAAAAAGATGACATAAGTAAACACAAAAAGCAGTTTCTAAATGCAGGTTTTACCACCCTTAGCAGCAACAAATGCAATCAAACATTTGCAAAAACTGGCAATGAGTCTTTAACAGCACTGTGGAGGAACTGTGGCCCACTCATCTTTCCTCAATTGTTTTAATTAAACAATATTGGTAGGCTTCCAAACATGAACTACCTTTTTAAGGTCATGCCACAGCATCTCAAACAGATTCAGGTCAGGACTTGGACTAGGTCACTCCAAAGTCTTCATTTTTTTTTTCTTAAGCCATTTAAAGGCGGAGTTTCTGCGTTTTGGATTATTGTCCTGTTACAGAACTCAAAAGCGCTTCAGCAAGAGATCACTAACAGATGGCTGGACCTTCTCTTTCAAGATGTTTTGGTACACAGCAGAATTCATGGTTCCATTTACCACAGCAAGTCTTCCAGGTCCTGTGGCAGCAAAGCAGCCTCAGATCATCACACTACCACCACCCTATTTAACTGCTGGTGTGATGTTTCTTTTATGAAATGCTGTGTTACTTTTACACCAGATGTAATGGAATACACACTGTCCAAAAAGTTCAACTTTTGTCTCATCAGTCCACAGAGTATTTTCACAACAGTATTGGGGATCATCAAACTGCATGCTGGCATAACGGAGACAAGCTTTTATGTTCCTTTATGGTTTGCAGCTTGGAACTCTGCCATGTAAGCCATTTTTGCCCAGTCTCTTTCTTATGGTGGAGTCATGAACACGGGCATTAACTGAGGCAAGTGAGGCCTGTAGTTCTTTGGATGTTATTCTGGGGTCCTTTGTGACCTCTTGGATGAGTCATTGCATGGAACAGTTGTGAACTTTTCCATGTTTTTCCCATTTGTGGATAATGGTTCTCACTGTGGTTCGCAGGAGTCGCACAGCTTTAAAAATGACTTTATAGAGTTTTCCAGACCGCTATAGCTCAATTACTTCATTTCCCGTGTCTTGCATTTAGTATTTATCCTTGGTTTCAGCTGTCTTTTTACACTCATGTGTTCACCACTGTTGAATATCTTACTTTGTTTTTTTAGCTCTACCCTTTCTACAGTATGTTAGACTTTTGCTATTTTCCCTATGGATAGATGGGCTAGAGTTTAATGTTTTAGATTTTGACTGATCTTAGATTTTCTTAGATTGTTTATCCAACCTAAAAAAAACTAATATTTCTTTATGCAAATCACCTTCTGAGTGTACATTGGTGGCTCATACCTAGACCTCACAACATGACAAATGTAGTAGTTTACTGTAATTTATACTAAAATATAAGAATTCAAAGACAAAACAACATGTGGGTGATGTTCACTTAACTATTGGCAGTTCTTATTGGTTATATCTTTTTACTTTTTTAAGAGAGAAAAAAACACTTGATCTGACCTTAGAGTCTGTAGTTTACAGTGTGGACTCTTTGCTGCAAGCGACAGAAGCTTCACACCTGTGTCCTGCAGATTGTTGTCACTCAGGTCCAGTTCTTTGAGACTGTAGCAGTCGGATATGAGAACTGGGGACAAAGCTTCACAACTTCTTTCTGAAAGGTTACAACCTCTAAGTCTAAGGAAAAACAAACAAACATAAACAAGAAGACAAAAAAAAACACCTGGTGATAAAGTGTATTCATGAGACAAGATCTGAGATTAGCCAGTATTTCTAATAGCAATACTGGCTGGAATTCTTACAGATATAATATTAAAAAGTGACTTTTACTCCATTACTGACAGGGGATTTCTTTAAATCACCCCGTAGTTCTTCAGCTAAGACACCTGAGTTAGAAAACACAAACACTGCAATTGTTAAAAATTCAAAGGTAGCATTTTGTGGAAGAAGTCAATTTAATTAGCGCATTTAATTAGCAACAATTATTACTGTTTATTGTTGTTGCTTGTTGAAAAAAAAAATATGACTTGATCTGACCTGAGAGATTCCAGTTTACAATGTGGAATCTCCACTCCAAGAGACAGAAACTTCACTCCTGAATCTTGCAGGTTATTATTGTTCAGGTTCAGCTCTCTCACATTAGAGGACTGGGATCTGAGAACTGAGGACAGAGCTTCACAGCTTCTCTCGGAAAGGTTACAGCCACTCAATCTGAAAAAGAAACCCCAAAACAAAACAACGATATTACTACTGGTCACTAACTTATTCTGTTACTAGTCAACAGTAATCATAGGTTAAATATAAATATAGACTGGAACATATTCCCAGGTGTGCATGAGGTCTGCCCTGAGTTCCTGAAGGCTCTGGATGTGGTAGGG